GTGTTCAAGTCTTGCTCTTCTTTGTTGAATTTATTTCTAAGAATTTGATACTATTATAAGTAGAACTGTTCTCTTGTGTTTGTTTTTGGTTTGTTCATTGCTACTGTATATAAATATAAGTATTTTTTGTGTTGATCTTGCCTCCTATAACTTCTATGAATGTATTTATTAGGTGTGATAGTTTCTTTGTGTGGATCCTTGAGGATTTTCTATATATGAGATCTCATGTATAAATATAGTTGTACTGCTTCCTTTTCAACTCGGATGCTTTTTATTTCTTTTTCTTGCTTAACTGCTCAACCTAGAACTTCCAGTAAAAAATTCCAATAGAAGTGGCAAAAACAGGTATCCTTGTCTTGTTTTTGATTTAGGGGTATAGGGACAAAAAGAGAAATCTTCTCCCTTCACTCTCTGAACATTTGCTAAAAATGAACTTACAAAAAATAGAATAGAAGAAAAAGGCATATAAATTTATTTTAGCATGCATAGTATGGGGAAATCACAGGAGAAATGATTACCCAGTAACCCAGGGGGATAAAGATGCTTCTATACCCTTCTTATAGGGAAAGGGTATATGAGGATATAGGAGGAAATGATTTTTAGGGGGGAAATAAATGGACTCAGGAGGTAGGTAGACATTATCTTGTAAATGATTCTCTTTAGAAGTTGAATGGGATCTAAGAACAAATAATAGTTTGGGACAATGTTTTGAAGTTCCTCTGGGCTTTAGGTGTCAGTGTTAAAGTCTCTTCCTCTGTGATATGAGTTTTAATCTTCTCTCATTAATGAAATTTTAGGAAAAGCATCAATGGTATTGGTGTTCCTTTGTGGGTGGGGTCCAATTTTTAGGGAGATGAGCAAACTTCAGAGAACAGTTCATCCTCTGCTTTGGGAGAGAAAGAGCATTAAGGCAGGGTGGTCAGAGAGACCCTGAGGCTGCTTCTTTAGTTCAGCATGTCAAAGCACAACATTTTGGGATATCATTTTCTGAGCCTCAACACAGAGAAAGCCTTCAGTCTTCAACCACTAACTATATTGTCAGCTGTGGATTTTTCATAAACATCCTTTACCATGTAGAAAGAATTTCTTTCCATTCCTAGTTTGTTATGTGTTTTTTATCATGAAAAAGTGTATGATTCATTATTTTTATATTAGAAATATTTTTTTTCTAATCTTTGCACTACATTCTACAGGGAACATTTTGTAAAATACACCCACAGTCATTAAAAAGGCATCAATAGTAACATCATAGAAAAATTACACTGACTATTCAAGACTTTCCATTGCACCACTACAGAATGTAGAAGTAAAACAAGAAAGAAGAAAGAAGATGAGGATCCCAAGTACAAATTAGAACAATACTGCCCTTCCCATACGTAGCCATAACATAGTGTGAAGGGAAGGTGAAGTTCTTCCTAGTGCCCAGAGTAGGAAAATATTGTGAGCAGTAACTTTACAGAACAGTGTATTAACTGTTATATTAGTGATTTATTGCTGTGTAACATATTACTCCCAAATTTCACAGCTTAAAACATTTATTTCTTACAATTTCTGTAGATGAGGAATTTAGGAGTAATGTGTCTGGGTGGCTCTTCATAAGGTTGCTGTTGAGTTGCTGGTTGGAGCTGTAGTTATCTGAGTTATCTTGCAAGATAACTCACTCACATAGCGTTGGCAAGAGACTTCTGTTCCTTGCCAGGTCAGCCTCTCCATGGGGCTGCTTGAATGTATTTAGGACATGGTGGCTGGCTTCTCCCAGAGTGAGTGATCTAAGAGAGAGTGCCAAGAGAAATCTGCAATGCCTTTTATGACCTACTCTTGAAACTCACACACAGTCATTTAAACCATATTCTTTTTGTTAGAAGAAAGTCATTAAATCTAGCTTATACTGAAGGAGAGAAGAATTAGTTTCTACCTTTTGAAGAGAGCAGTGTCAAGTAATCTGTGGAAATATTTTAAAGCCACCACACTGAAGAATGGAATCATCTTTTCCATATGCAATAGTCTGACATAGCACCAAATAAACATTCCAAAAACAGAAAACAAAAATCCATTAACGGAACCTGGTAGAGCTATTTACATAGATAGATCCATGCATAGATAACAGAGGACAGAGGATAATGACACATTAGAAACTTCCAGTTACAGAATATATTATAAATATTTAAAATCCTTTTAATAATATAAATCAAATATATCTGAATCTAGATTTTAAATTTTTTTCTCTTGAAAAACTATTACTATAAAATGAGAAAACTATATGAATATATATCATATAATAAATCTTTTAAATTTCAGAAGATGTCAAGTTTGTGAAACTAGCTCTGATATAAAAGTAGCCATCAAGGGTTCAGTGTTAAAAAATTGAACAGCTTTGGTTGTCTGGTCCTTTGTTTTAGTTATAGGATCCCCCAAATAGACACAAAAGGACCTGTTTGTGACTGCCACTGCCAATATTGTTACAATATTGGTTTTAGTACCTACGAGCTTATGATCATAAAATAAACCTCCCTGTGGCATTTCAAAGAACTTCTCAAGCTTTGTGTCTGCTTTTAGATCCAGTACTGCTGAGAAATGATTCAGCAGCACTCAGAGAAATCAACATTCAAACTCTCTGAGTATGGAAATAATTAAATTCACAATCAGCTTAATGACTAAATAGAAAGACTGACTTATGGTGACAAAATTATTGTTTTGTGGAGTGAAAATATCTCAGAAACATGCTCTTAAAATATTTTCCTGAAAAGATGTCTACAGGTCAGCATTGTTCACCACAACACTTTCTACGCATGTGAAAACTGATTCATGAGTTTATGGGACACTGAGCACAACATCAGGAAATAATCCTGCCAGTAATTATCACACATAAAAGACCTCCTGTTGCAAAAATGTCAGTTACAGTAAGGAAAATTACTCACACTCTCCTGCACCTGCCTTTTCTAGGACTGCTCATTCAGCTTTCCATATGGTGGGATTAAGCATATTAAGAAGCTAGAAACACTGAAGGATGAAGTTTCTCTATTTTCATCATCTACTGGTTAGTTTGGTCTACACAGAGGATCACATGCTGACAGCTAGTGCTGGCTGTGAAGCCAGTTCTTTCCTTAGGACCTCTCTGCATGGCCACCTGAGCTTCCTTAGTGCATAAGGGTTGGGTTCAAAGAAGGATTAGTTTAAGAAATGAAGGTAGAAGATGCAGATCTCACAAGTTAAGCTGTTAATTCAGCTGCATCCAATTATTCAAAACATGGAGAAAGAGCTGACTCAGAAAGGGGTGAGGAAATCAGCTCTACTTCTTGATATGGGGATAGCAAGTTCCACTTATAAACTGCCTGTGGAATGGGTACAAGATGACAATTTTCTCTATTCCCTAGATGTTTCATGTTCCTGCATGGTTCAGTCCCTCTGAACAAACGCATTTATAAAATGTTTATATGAGGAGACATTCCAGCATAGGAAAGCTTAAAGAAATCTCTCTCTCTTGAAATGACCCAGGAGAGAGAGATTTTCCTGAATGTTGGTACCCCCATAATATTCTGAAATTAAAGAAAAAAAAGACCTTTCCTTCCCCTCCCTGGCAGATATTTGCTTACATCCCAGAATAAAGACAGGTTCTCTCTGTCTCTGTTTCTCACTCTGTATATTTGTCTCATTCTCTGGAAGAAAGGATGGATAGCCCTATACAAGATCAGTTTCCTAATTTGTAAACTGTACACAACTGCATGTGCTGGTCTCACCAGGTCCTCACTTCATGACACTGCAGGACTAGGTTTTAGGGAACCTGACACAAGATATTTCTCTGGCTGCCACATTTGCTATGAGAAATAAACAGTTTTGGTCTCTGACCCAGTGGTCTCATGTTTCCTACAAGTAGGATAAAACTTAGATAGATCCTGATTTAACAATAGGAGATGTTTTTGTGGCCATATTTTCAAATACATACGACCTACCCTACTAATAAAATAAAAGATTATCAACATTGGCAACAAGGAACCCAGGGAACAGGATATGAAGGACCATATTGACTGGTCTAAGTGGATAAGTAATCCCAAGTGGGAACCAACAGGTGAGGAAAATGTCTAAAGAATAATTTTGGAAAGAGAAGCTACTAGAAAGTATTCTTAGATGGCCATATATTTCCATAGAGAAGAAGATTGGAATATTCCCTATGAACTGAAATATGAGGTAGAGGGAGTTGCATTTTAAGAAAATGCTATAGGTTAATATTTCTAGTTCATCCTAGAAGCTATTTGAACAGCACAGTTTCTAACAAAGTATAGCAAAGTTGAATTAATAGATACAGCAGACAAATTTTGTGTAAATAGTAAAAGTCCAAATTTCAAAAAGAGTTGGAGGTTTGGATTTATAGTCAAAGATCTACATCATCAGTTTATTCCCTTTTTGTTAATTCTTATAGTTATAGCTTCATGACATGGATATTAAATATCAAATCCATCTTTGCTTTGCTTAGTTTTTCCTTTGTACCTTCATTATGACACTATCTACAATGGTTATTAGAATTGTGGTATGTATTTGTTTTCTTCATTAGATTATCAATCTCTGGACTTTAGGATAGTATTTCAGCTATTTCCATGGCTCTCAAATTATTTAACATGGTGTTTTGAACAGAATAGGCACTCGATGGTAGAACTGACTTAATTCCCTAAATTATCATATTCAAGAGCCACAACTGCTGCTCTTTATAAACAGTTAATATTCATTGCCTACATTTTATTCTACATTTAAGAAATACCAAATATAAATTTTTCCTAGTATACTGTTCTACATAATGACATTGTCTTGTCAGATTTAAAGCCTGTCATTTATTGATCATTTGTATTAATGCAGATAGTGAATTATTTAAATGGCCTAATACTGGTGTAAAGCCATAAACCCATATAAAAAATAAGCAAAACTATAAATTAAACTGTGTCTAGAAATCACCTTCCTTTAGTTCTAAGACCTGTCCCAGCACCATACACTTTGTCCAGCGATTTTACCGTATTTGTCTCTCTTCTCCCCAGTGGCATCAACAGTGCCATCTGGATGCAGACGGACAAACCCTCCAGTCAGCCTGTTGTAGAACTGAATAGTATTTCCTTCTCTGAACTTCCAGCTTTCTGCAGTCCACTAAAAAGAAAAACAAACAAAACGCCAGTATGATAAGAAACAAAGAGAAGAAATTACTAAGAAACATCCCTTACTAAACATTATACACTGTTTTGTTTTAACACATCAAATAGCCATTTGAACACTGTATTAAATAATTTAAAGCCCAAAGCAAAATCTTACTGTTTGTTTTCTCTTAAGTTCTACCTTCTTCCCTGAGAAAATAAAGAGAGGACCATTAATTTTGACAGCATCATGCTTTGTTCAATCATAATAAAAAATAATTTTCCAAGAAATGTGTGTACATGACACTTACTTGCAGAGAAGATACTGTTATCACTGGCATACAGTTCTACTACAATTTTACTATCATCTTCCCCTTGATCCAGCCATCTGTGGAAAGAAAAGTGTATCGATTATTTTTAGGCTTTATATTTATACCACCATTGGTAATTATCTACCTAGGTCAAAAATAATGGATAGCAGGAATAGGAAAAGACATGGATATCTAGTTGTTAAAAACAGAGGAGTACAGAATGAAAAACAAAATTCTAAAATGACTATAAGAGTACAAGGGAGTTGGAAGCAGCAGCTAGTATCTGATAAGGATACAATATGTTTTTCCCTAATCCACTCAGTCTGCTAACTGCCCAAGTCATAGATTTTATGTCCCTTGCATCAATTATTTTATCCTGTTCTTTGGCCACCAACTACAGTTCAAACTCCAGACAGTTATTTCATAAATGGCTATTATTGGTTCCACAGGGAAAAAGGCAGGAGGGTGTTGAAATAAAAAGCAAATCTATCATCACTACTGGGAAATAACTCAAAAATCAAGGCCTATTGACAGTGGGTCAGCAATATTATCGCTGCATAAAAAGCTACTTGTAATACCATGTACATTTATTATTTTTGAACCTAATTTAGGACCCAGTCCAAAGGGAATATGTTTTCTTATGAGAGCCTTTCATTATCCTTACTGATATGTAGAGAGATATATTTTAATTTACCATTAAATACTAAATTTATATCATCAAAAATGATGATAAACATATGGATATATTTTTCAATAGAAGCAGCAGCCCCTAAGATTAATGTTGACAAAAGTTATCCAACAAATCATCAATGACTAGGAATAACTGAATAATCTATCCAGTTCTCAAAAATACATGAACTTGTATTTTTGAAAAAAATGAATTTGTTCAATGTAAAAGCACACCTACAAACCTGTGACAAAAGAAGGCATATTTGTGGTTTGTAGTAGGATCCTTGATGACAACATCTTCAAGAAACCAGCCATTTCCTATACACAAATTAAAGAAAGAAAAGTGTGATGTGAATATGTATGGTACAGCATTATTTCAAGTTTTGAGAAATAGGTTCTAATTTCCAAATATATATAAAGGCTTTGTACAACATAATGCTTTCATATTTCAAATAAAGCAAGATGTAACAGAAGTAAACTGCAAATAACATTTAAACATATTTCTTATACATGTAACAAAAGCACAGCATCATTTTAGGGCTTCATGTTTTGTAATATCTATTTTAATATGTTTTTTCAAACAATTGAAAATAGAACAATCATGTAGCTGCTCTTGATTTCATAAACTGCATTCATAATCCTGGACCTAACATCTTCAAAAGAATATATACTTGATGAGTTAGCAATACTTTCCATTTCTAGAAAGTTACTAAAGTTCAAATTTGGACCAAGTCTACATGAACAAAATATATATTTTTTGATTGGCTAGAAATGAACATTCAGAATTCCTGTCCAAACACATAGACTGAGCTGGTATACCGAGGCAGTTATTTCTTTTTAAATGTTTAACTTCATATTAATTTGCAAACTGGAGTTGGTTAAAATATAATTTTATTTATAGATAAAATATTTTAATTAATCATAGTGGTTTTATCTATGCAAAGATCCAGCTCAAAATATATCCTCCACAATTAAAATCTTGAGTTGATGAGTTTATACTAATCATCCCTAGAAGAAACTTTTTGCTTACTCTTAAGCTTCATCCCTCATCACATTCTACCATCACTGAGTGATGCCAAACTCCTCATAGTTCCCTAGGTTAGTAGTTCTTAAACTTAGCATGCATCTGAATCACCAGGAGGGATTATAATAGCACAGAGAGCTGGGCTCCACATTCAGGTTCTGATTTAGTAGGCCTGGCATGGGGAGCCTATGGTGACCAATTGGCCCAAGGCAGAGAGGTTTCCCAGGATGCAGGATTTTCAGTGCTAAAACCATGACAACCATAGGCAAACTAGGATGGTTGTTTATCCTAAATAAGACCTCAAGAACTGAATTTTTAACAAGTCCCCTGGCAATGCTGATGGTCCAGGAACCACACTTTGAAAACCACTGCCATAGATTATTCACATTCACAATTCTATGCCTTTACATATGCTATTCTTTCTGTCTGGAATGAAATCCCTCAAAATATTATTATTTAATTTCATTTTAAATGCTACCAAAAAAAAAAAAAAAAAAAGAATTACTTGTCTCCTTTAAAGAAAAATAAAATGTTACCAGAATTCTGAAGTGGGTTTTAAGAGCTACTGAGAAAACTCTTGGAGGTAATAAGGTATTGATTTTTAAAAAATTATAAATAAGTTAGATTAAAACTATTAATGCAAAAATATATTGCCTATATTTTGAGTATGTTTTTCATGTAAATAAGAAAGACCCAGGAGTAGATTTAGAAATAGAAAATACGAGTTCCTGAAGAAAGCTTAGGCTATTCCTGCAGGGATCAGGCAAAAAGAATAGGAGTTAAACAGTTATATAAAATTCTACTGAATGTGCCACTTTCTTATACCATACATAGAATAAGTAATTGTATATTATTAATTAATTAATGTAATATTTATTTTTATTGGATTGGGTTGGAGAAAATGGACAAAAAAGGTATTGAAACTGTATATAATGCCAGCACATACAAAAAAAAATCAGTTAATTTAGTCTATACATTTCTAATTTTGTTCTAGGCCTATATACAGCATGCCCATATGTATCAAATTGAATCCTACTGTGTAAAGGTGCCCTGTGGTAGTAGATATAAGCTATGTGCTTACCACATGGTTCCTTCTTTCTGGTTACACAAGATGGCTACATTTCTCAGCCTACTCTAAAATTAGGCAGTGGCCATATGATTCATCTCTTGCCAATGGAATGAGAACAAAAATTATATAAGTCACTTGCAAGCTTAGCCTTTAAATTTTACTCCATCCCCTGTGATTCTCTGGCCGATTCCACCTCCTGTGGTGACTTCAACAGCCATGTAGCACCTGGAGCAACCACACACTGACGAAGGCCTAACCCAGCTCACTGAAGAACAGATGCCTGGGAAACTTTCCAACTCCAGACTTGTGTGAACAATAAATAAACACTTGCTGCAGGGAGCCCCTCATATTTTGGGGAAGTTTGTTACAGCAACTAGTGAGTATTAATTACTCTAAATGTATATCTGCTTTGTTCACTTGACACTAGCATTTCCATATTTTTTCTAAATATTCTCAGACATGATTTTTAAAGTTCTGTTGTATTTCAGTATGTGGACATACCATATAAAATATATTTCCTATTTTAAGATAGGGAATTGTACTATTATGCATAATATAGTTATAATTTTGAACATGCATTTTATTTATACTTCTCAATTTTTTGATAACTTTCTAGCTGGAATTACTGAGTTGAATTAAGTGGTATTTCCAAATAACACTTAATAACACTAATAATGGAACACTGCATTATTTGTCCACAGTTCATCCTCCCTCACCCCACTCTACCCCACTGACTTTGGTCTTGGCCATTTTCTTTGATGAATTCATCACAGCCCACAACCAGGAGTAATCCAGATGTCCTTCAACAGGTGAATGGTTAAACTGAGGGAAATCCATACCATGAGATACAAAAGGCAATAAAAAGGAAAGAACAATTGACATGCACAACTTGAATGAATCTCTAGAAAATTATACAAGGAGGGAAAAAAAATCAATCCCAACAGATTACATAAGATTACATTTATACTGCTCCTGAAATGAAAAATTTTAGTAATACAGTATAGATTAGTGGTTGCCAGAGATTAAGATCAGGGCATTGGGGAAGGGAGTAGAGAAGAAAGGAGGTGTATGTGGCCATAAAAGGGCAACATGAAGGATCATTCTAGTGATGGTATTCATCTGTGTCCTGATTGTATCAATATCAATATCCTGGTAGTGGTATTTTACAATAGCTTTGCTAGATGTTACCACTGGGGGAAACTGGGTAAAGGGTACAGAGATCTGCATTATTCCGTATAACTTCATTTGAATCTACAATGATCTCAAAATAAAAAGTTTAATTTAAAATGTAGCTTAGAATTGTTAAGTTTTTATTTCTTCAAGTAATAAAAATTTATTTTTGGTCATTCTGGATTTTTTTTAATATCCATTGCTCTTTTTTCTATTAAGTCCACTTAAAACCTAATTTAAAGCTTATTCTGTACTACTGATTTAGCTGTCTGTCTATTACTGTACTTTTTACCAAACTACATTTAAAAATGATGACCTTTAATTAAGCATTTTAATATGAAAATCTGTCTTGTTAATTTTTTTACAAGATGTTCTTGGCTATTACATCCTTTTAATTTTTCCAAATAAATAATAGAATCATTTTAAGAGCATTATTGAGAAATAATTTACAGACCATAAAGTTTACCTGTTTAAATAGGTTCAATGGGTTGTAGTATATTTTCAGGGTTGTGCGACCATCGCCATAACCCCAATTCAGTACATTTTCATCAGCCCCAAAAGAAACACTGTATCTATTCATATATACCCTCTCTTCCCTCTCCCAGACCTAGGCAAACACTAATCTACTGCCTGACAGATATACTTCTCCATATTTCAGATAAACAGAATCACACAATAAGTGGTCTTTTGTGACTGGCTTATTTCACTTAAGGCTAGAAACGAAACTCTGCTACCTGTCTCAGAACTTACCTTTGGGTGAGTTGTGTTGCTCTGCATTTCAATTTTTCTCCCCTCTGAGTTTGTGATGTCTCTTGATTAAAATTAGTAGGTACATTTATATATTACTACTCCTCTCTATTAATTCTCTCATTTCCCCACTTGTGATGTTCCACTTGATTTTGGAGCAACCAATAGTCATTCTATAAAGAAACATTCTATAAAGTCGTTCTATAAAGAAACCACTGCGGCTGTCTCTTTCCTCTGTAGTCTGGGATATTATATAAAATGAATCTGGCAGCAGATTGCTATTGCCAAACAATAGGCAGGCATGGATGCAATTTGGCTTACCAAAATTCTGGAGTCTTTTTACTGCTGATACACCACAGAAACAGGCAACTGGGGCCTAAACTTAATATGTGGTGCATAAAACCTACACCTCTCTCACCAAATGAAGACAGTGCTTCTGGAGCACCATGAGGACTGGATTACACAGCCAGCCATGATCACTGGTAAATGAATCATTAAGGAACAAATAGGGTCTCTTATTCTAAAACCTATAAATCAAATTTTCTTGGTTAGAGCCCCCAGTACTTCTTAATATGCCCTTCAGATAAGGCCAGTCTAATAGAAACGGGACTGTATTTTTTATTGTTGATATTAATTATTAGACACGCATATTTTAGCTGCTACTCTGAAGAAGACATTTTTTATCTTATATTTTCAATCAAATATTACTAGTATATAAAACAACCACTATTGATTATATATTGATTTAATATTTAGCCACCTTATAAATTCTCTTATTTCTTTTATTCATTTTTCAGTTGATACTCCTTGAATCTTAATAGACATTTTTATCTCCTGTAAGCAATAATTTTAACTTCTTTCCAAAATATAACTGTTTTACAAATCTTATTATAATTCTTGGTATGATGCTTTCCAAAGAATAATTAGTATATATTCATAATGAGAAAAATCTTTTTCCTATTTCTGGTTTTAATGGATTTCATTGTTTAAGAGGTTGGCCTAAGTTAAATTTTTAAATAATTTTAAATAAATATTTTTTCTGCCCCAAATTCTTAAAGAATTTTTAAGAGGAAAAGATCTTAACTGTTATCAATTAATTTTTCTGCTTCAACCTTTTGAGGTGATGTATTTTATTAACAGATTTCCTTATATGGAACTATCCTTCAATTTCTTGGCATAAACCCTACTTATTGTTATGTATTGATCTTGTTATGTATTATACTTCTTGATTTACTTTTATACATTTCACTTAGAATATCTGTACATATATTTATCAGTGAGATTGACCTGTAATTCTTCATCTAGAAA